TGAAAAAAATCAGTATCTGTTGGATCTCGCTGCCCCCTGTCCAGCCTTCGTCCAACCCGCCCCTGGACTCATAAACCAAACTCTTAGCATACGAGTTAACTTTCCCCTCATGTAACTACAAAATAAACAAACTGAATCCGCTCTAAAAATGCAATTTTCAAAATGCTTAATTACTCAACAACAATTCAAATTACATAACGGTAAATAACGTCAATTCATGATTAATAAATAAAATATCAACAAAGAAAACCTGTAACTTTGAAATCAGTTTTAAATATTGCCAATAAAGTGATTGTTTCAGCGTTTTTGAACAATTAAACTTCAATGTTCATCAGTCTTAATATTATATCACTACTTCTTCACACCTGATCATTTCCAAAACAGAATTACCTGTCACACCTCGTTCACAATCTTCAAGAAATTGTTAATGAAACTTTGCATTGTCGAAAAACCTTCTCATAGTCGGCTTTAGTCCCACAATGGGTCCTTGACAATTTCTTGTGCCGGATCGTACAGGCGAAGCAACTCCAGTTTTGCCTTACAATTATTTGGTTTTTGTTTAGCCAACTTATCCATGACAGCTTCGTCCAGCGTAAGTATGTAATCGAAGTCATCAAAATCGCTTTGTCGCATTTTCCTTGCACGGTGTTCCCCGACAGGAATTGAATTCTCCGACAAGACAATTTCAACGAGTTCTTCAGGGAAGCAACCCTCGTTCCAGTCGACATAACCTGCGCTGTCTATCCTCCAAGATACTGGTTGTGAAGAAGTCCTCACCATTTCTTTAAATAGAAATTCTGCCATCGGGGAACGGCATATATTGCCAAGACAGACGAATAAAACCGATTTTGTATTGGTGGCCATGTTTGTTTCAATCAAAGCGCTAGAGGATAACAATCGTCCGCAGAAGCACTGAGCTCTATATAACTGGAGAGAGGTTTTGGCATTAGAAGAGATTATGTGAATACACGACCTTTCGAAGTTACTGGTATGATAGAGTTCAAATATTTCAATCGTGTACTATTAATTGGCTACAAAATGTCTGGGGAAATTCTGTTTATTATGCCCACCATATTGTGTAGAGAAAAGTTGCGAAACGAATAGTCGCGTATATGATACATTTCAAAGACCCTCAGAGGTCATTTTGCCCAGCGCTAGTGAAAGTGCTACCTTGACAGAAGTGCTACTCTTTGACTTTTGATCTTTTAAACAGTGTCTGTTTCAAAACAAATAATAATAATAAGAATACTAGTTCGAAAAAACAAAACGTCCCTGCGAAATTTGTCACTTGTTTGTGTTTTGAGATTACAAATCGTCACGCGAATGAAATAGGTTGGGAAGACAAGACGGTGTTGTGATAAGGCAAGCCGATAAAAGGTTTGCAGAAAAGGCCATACTTATTTGCTAAAAACATATGTTATTTCGTAGCATGAAATAATTTGCTATCTAATTTGCTAAAAATGGTATATTAACATTTCGCTATGGAAAGATTAAGTGGAAACAAAAAACCCTTTTGCTAGGAAAAGCTTACAAGTGTCGTTTGATTATTTATTTCATTACCTTGCAGTTAAACAATCGATGTCGTTACTTGTGCAAAAAATTGGACAGTAGGCATCATTGAGGCTTTTCAAGGTGTGCATGAATAATTGAACAGAAAATACATTTTAGACGTCGGGTTGAATTGTAAACCGCATGTAGAAAAAGCGCGCACGTGCACACATCGCTTGAACAAAGTAAATTAATCGATTAAGTCTTTTTTCTTGGGCAATGGCCATTTTCAGTATTCAAGAATGAAATTTAAACGACTTTGTCAAAGTTGAAGATAAATAATTAGAAGATAAGTAATTAGAAGATAAATAATTAGAAGATAAATAATTAGAAGATAAATATCTTGTCCGTTATTCAATTTGTATCAATTGCCACACGGACATAAACTTACATTTGTTTCCATATGGCCACACTGGTTAGCTTAGAGTGTAGATAATAAAATTCGGATCTTTAATTGTGTTTTACATGAATATGAAATGTTCAATGCAAGAAATATTTTTATACGTTTAACAGATACAAGAAGTATCATTTTAAATTTTTAAAACATTGAAATTTTAAAACATTACCTGCATAATGCATTAGCGTCTGGTCAGTATGTAGCAACAGATGTGTCATGCGTATATATCATGTAACTATGGCAACACACTCGGGCCGGTTGAATAAAACTATTTAACTACACGTGCATAATTAACTCAGAAATACACAGCTCTGATTGGCCAATTCTGCCCTTAACTATACAGGTAAATGTTAACTAGCCTTTTACAACTGGCCCCTGACATGTAAAGCGTAATGCGCATCAGTGATAACTACATGGAACATTTAAGTCACACAAATCACCGTGCTCTTTTTGCAATATTTATATCCGTTTGTAGTCGGTGAAGGAAATTCCAATTCTGAATCTCCGACAATTTTATTTTCAATATTTCAACAATCTTTTCTTATCTTTCGACTGATTTCGAATTCTTCTAGTTTACTTTCGTCAATTTTGAGAAGAATCAGCCGATATTTTTTCAAACTATACATGCAATGCAATGTTTGAGGGTTCCTCAGCAAAACTCTAAATTACTTGATTTTTCACAAAAAAAGGCTTGAGTTGGTTTTTCAATCGGTTGCGAAAATTGATATCCACTGAAAATTTGATGCAATAAAGGCTTTCTAGCCTACTCGCATAGGAATGAAGAGCATAACAAAAAAATAGGTTTAAGATAATCAGCTTTACGCCCAAATTATGTATTTCCAAGTGGAATTACATCACGTTCACACAATTTAATTTTTTAAATTTCTGTATACTTAATGGACGACTTGCGCTTTAGACTAATTTCTTACCTCGGCAATAAAAAGGACATTTCTGAAAGATCTTACTTAAATTAGTGCAAATGCAAAGTTTGGCTGCGAAATGTTGTAAAATACGGAAAATAGCCACGCGAAGTTGTCGATTTTTGTATACTTTTGTATTACGTGCGGAAATGTGTAACTAAATTAGTTACACACTTCCGGTCGTAATACAAAAGTATACAAAATTTGCCAACTTCGCGTGGCTATATTTTCCGTATTTTACCAACATTTCGCAGCTAAACTTTGCATTTGCACTAATTTAAGTAAGATCTTTCTAGCTGTCATGATTTATTTTCTTCTAGTTACTTCGATCAAAAATTTGTCTAAAGCGCAAGTCGTCCATTGCTTTCAAAATTCCGATGAAACCAAAAATTTCTATTTACAACAAGTCGCCTATTTAACGAAAGGTGGGGGGACTGTCCCTCCTCCCTCTCCACACAACTGGGATTTCCGCCACTGCTGTTCACACTAATACGGTTTACATGCTTATATCTTACAGTAGATAGCTCCAATGAGTATTATTATTGATTGATTGGTCAGTTGCTTAGCTACAAAAAGCATCTGGTTTTCTAAATACATGCATTGAACGATTTGGCAGGAAAGAGGAAGGACTACTGTTGAATTGTCGCGTATTTGTTGAAGTATTAATCGCAACAAAGTTCACAATAAAACATCTTTTGAAACAATGAAAAAGGCTATAGCTAATGCTTACATATATTCTTCGATTTCAGTTGCTGCATTTGGAATTCTTGGCAACATTTTGGTTATCATTTCCATATGAGGCAGAGGACATTGCTAAATAGTAACTACTACTTTCTTGTTTTACACCTTGCAACCTGCGATCTGGCATGTTTGGTCATCGTATTCTTCGATGACATTATCCTTTATTTTGTTAGAACTTTTCAAAATAATAGCAACGCATATTGTGCAGTCATAAGCATAGATAGCGTCTTTGGAGCGACAGGAGTTTTCATGATGCTAATCATTTCACTTCTTCGTTATCGTGCTACTGTTCATCCCTTAAAGTCAGACATCAGTCGAAGAAAGTTGAAAATTGTTTGTGGTGCGTGTTATATGGCATAGGCTTTGTTGCCGTGTTTGGATGTTTTATGCTGGCGTGTTTGGTGAGACGGAGCGATCCTCAATTTGAATACATATATAATAAATTTCTACTCGTTTACCTCGTAACTTGCTTTTATTTCTTCCCAACTGTCTTTATGGCCGTTGTTTATTACAAAATTGGTCGAGCGCTCGCGAAACAAAACAAACGCATGAAGCGTGTGTGTTCAAGCGTAGTAAAAAACAGACATATTCAGAATTGTCGAATATTTTTTGTTTGTCTCGGTACAGTTTTATGTTATGGAGTGAGTATCATTCCTAATTCAGTTTATTACACAGCATACATCTTTGATAAGCAATATCCACCGTCAAAATATACATGGATTATATATTTTGGTTTCGTTCTTCGCTATGGTGGTTCAAACTCGGTAAATTCTCTTTTATATGGAATATTTGACAAAACATTGCTGGCATTCTGTAAACTTTCTTTCTGCAGAAAGAAGGGCCGACAACATGATATAGTAGCTCTCGAACACCTCAAAAGGACAGAAGAGGGTTGTCTTGAATGTCATGCCTTGCAATAAAATAGCTGAAATGTAAATGCAGTAGTTCTGCGTAGAATACTCTCGCTCAGTTGAACAGATTGATATAGTTATACATATATTCAGAGAAGTGAAGAGTTGTAATTGTGAAATCACCACCATTCAGGTCATGTGTTTTGTGACGTTACACGAATGGGGGATTTTTTCACAAAATAGTGAAAACTAATAAGGATATAAGGGATACACGATATAGGGCTCAGATGAACAGCAAGAGTTTTGCAGAACAGGCCATACTTATTAGTTATTATGCTGAAAAACACATGCTATTTACTGTAATCAAATAATGTGGCGATGGAAAGATTAAGTGGCAACAAAAAATCCTTTTGCTAGTAAAAGCTTAAAGTCTGGTTTGATTAGGTTTGTTTTCATTACCTCATATAGTTTGAACCGTTACCTTACTTTTGCAACTAAAATTAGACATTATAAACATGTTTAGAGCTTTTTTCAAAATGTGAATATTTAGAACAAATATTTTCGAAATTTAACAAAATTTTATCAAAACTATGCTGGGTCACCCAACATATACCTTGTCGTCATCTTTTTAAATTTCAGATAAAAAGCTGATCGATTGGCTATCGTTTTTTGCGATGGAAAAGGAGCCAATCAGCTTTCTATTTGCAATTCAAAAAGAGTACGACAAGGTGGGCTGGGTGCCCCAAGCATAGTTTTGTTGACGAAATTTTGTCAAAAAATCGAATAACATTTGCTTTTTTAGCATCCTTAAAATTGAAGTTTGAAGTAAAAACTTCGGACGAATCGGTAGTCAAATTACCGACGTTCAAACCGATGTAATTTTTATTATTTTCATTTGTAATTTGTGAGATATTCAGGTTGTAGAAAACGTTGTAGTATATTGTAGTATAATAAAGAAACTTGCCAACCTTGTTATAATAAAAGATCGAACTGGACCGAGTATACTCGCGTACACGCGCGAGCGCCACGAGAACGACATTATTTCTGGGCTGCCTATGAACAAACTACATTTTAGACGTCGAATAGTGTCAAGGAAGGCCTGCGAAACGGTCGCAAACGAAGCCAAATAGAAGTATTGGCAAGTCTTAAACTCTAACACCCAGATTTGTTACTGTAATAGCATGCATGTTCTTCTACAATATTTGTTACGAGCGCTCTACCATCAAAGCCACAGATACGCCACATTTGTGCATGTAGCCTAGGTCTGTTATTTTCCGCACGTATGCACAAGAAAACTCAAACTTCTTATGAAGCTTTTTTACAAAACTTATCTTCCTTATACTTCGCAACACATAAAAAATTATAAAATTTCGCTACGACGTATGTGATCCGTTAACATCTGATAAA